AAACATTTGACAAACTCTTTTAGGTACATAATTATTATAAATATTATACATCATAATAGCACTTTGAATTTTATGTATATCATAAATATTGAGTGTTCTATAGGCGAAAAAACAGGGGACGTGAATGAGCTTGATAATGGGAGTTTGTACATATTCTTAAAGCTTTCTTTTGAAGTTTATAGAGAGGTTCTAGTTTAGTTGTTCCCACACGGGCCCAGGTGATATTACAGTAATGTAAGTAAGGCAAAATTAAACAATTATACAACATAAACAATAGTTTTTTCAGGCAGAAATACACGTAATTTACGAAGAACACCAATGTTTTTAGATATTTTGTTAGTTATATACAATCGATGATCCTGAAAAGATAAAGTATCATCCAAAAGGATACCAAGAAATTTAACAGAAGAGCACACGTTCAAATTTATATTGTTTATAGATATTTGTACATCATTAATATTGCAAGGATTAGTTTTATTATGAAAATAAAATACACTTGTTTTGTCATAATTTATAATCAATTCATTAGCATTAAACCATTCAACAACCTTTTCTAATTTTTTATTTACTTCTGACATTAATTTATCCAAATCATTATGAAATGCAATCAGGTTTGTGTCGTCAGCAAATAAGACAAAATGAAAAAGAGATGAAGCAGAACTAAGGTCATTTATGTAAATTAAAAATAGGAGAGGACCCAGCATGGAGCCATGTGGGACTCCATACTGGATCCTCTCTTTGTCAGAAGTTGTTGTATGATGTGAATTGAATACGATCACTTAAATAGTCCCTGAACCATTCCCAAGAAATACCGCGTATATACCAAGATATTTTAATTTAGTGAGGAGAATATCATGGTTAATGACATCAAAAGCTTTCGACAAATCAAGAAACAAGCCTAATGTATGTAATTTATTTATTTATTTAATTTATTGAGTATGTGATCATGAAGGTCAATTACGGCATGTCCACATGATAAGTTTTTTCTAAAACCATATTGAGAAACAGTCAGAAGATTATTTTTATTTATATGATTAAAGAGCCTATTATAAATTAATTTTTCCAGTATCTTAGAAAAACAGGCGAGTAATGTTATTGGTCGATAATTAGAAAATATTTGGGGATCCCCTTTTTTAAATATGGGTATGATTTTTCCTACTTTAAAATTCTTGGGGACTTTCCTGACAAAAAGGAAAGATTACATATAAAAACAATTGGTTTGACAATGAAATGTATAACATGTTTTATAATGTACTGACTTATTCCTTCAAAATCTGTGCTCTTGTTTGTTGGTAGGATGATTTTTTTTTTGATGTGCTACAAGGATCTCGTAAAAATGAACTAAAATTGCATTTCGGTTTCTGAATTCATTTACAATCAATTGACGATCAATTAACTTGTTCTTATCTTTAAGAAAATAATTAGGGTATTGGCATTTTCTTCTCTTTCCTAATAAATCATTAATAACTTCCCAAGTTTTATACATATTATTCCTATTCTTCTGTAATAAATCACAAAAATATTTTTTTCTTACAGACTGTGAAATTGAGTTTAATTTATTTTAATTTTTTTATATTTACATTCATTGCTGTCGTTTCTTTTCTGACACAATGTTTTATATAATCTATACTTTTTATTTTTATTTTGTTAACAGTAAAAGCGTTATCCAAGGTTTTCGTGGCAGTTTTCTTTTCTTCACTTTACGAACAACAAACTTATAATCATACACAGTTTTAAATAATATGTTTAAAATGAATTATATGCCCCATCTACATCACAAGAAAAAATACTTCATTCCATTCTAAAACAGATAAATCCCTCTGAAATGAATTTAAATTTAAAGGATCCGTTTTCCTTATGTGGAAAAAATGAAGATGGTCTATGACAAGAACTAGTAGAGAGGTTGGTTATTTGGAAAATAGGTAGATGGTCTGTTATCTCACTATAGAAAATACCAGAGTGAATGTCTTTAGTGACTACATTTGTCAAGATATTATCCATCAAAGTGACAGACTTCTTACATATTCTTGTAGGTTTGTCAATTTTTGGGCGAAATGAGTTGCTATACATAATATTTACAAAATCATCAATGCATTGAAGCGAATTATATTTAAGTAGATCAATGTTATACATTATACCAACAATGATGTTTTTACCATTATCCAATATGACTTCAATAAAAAGATATTCACAGAGAGTTTCAGGTAAATAAATATCATTTCGAACTTTAGCATCAAATAAATCATTGACCAAGAGTGCAACCCCTCCACTTCTCCTACCTCGTCCATCATTATGATAAAATGTGTAACCATCTATATTAAATAATAACATTGTGTTATCGTGAATCCAGGTTTCACTAAAACCATATATAGAAAATTTCAAGTTAAGTTGACTAATAAACTGATCAATAGCGTCAATTTTGTTATTCAAACTTCTAGAATTAAAGTGGAGAATGCTAAATATATGTTTATAGTTATTAGTTAAATCTTGGCTCACATTAAAATCAACAGGTAGCCAGTACTTAATGGGATTATTAGTAGGGTGATCACACTGCCTGTGCACACAGTCTGCCCCGCGAACACACACACACACACACACACACACACACAAGAGCAGTCAGTTGGTAGAAATAGCTTTTTTTTTTTTTTAAATTATTAAAAAAAATTAAACAATATTATTAAAGTTTTATTTCACATATATTTCAAGCATACCTTTAACTACAATTCTGTGTAGTTTCATTGTTATAGGCATATGGGAAATATGTTAAATTATTTAATTAGAATATTGTCTTTTCAGCCATATGTGACATGGCCCGCTGATCGCCCATTTACTTGCACTTTTATTCTGCTTGGTGAAAATGCACCTCAATGTATTAAACTCCCCTACAAAAAATGCAATATCCTCATGTGTTTCACTCATTGAATCAATGTTTTGTTTAAACTTAAAGTAGCCACATATCTACTGGGGTCACCAAACTTTTTTTACTCTTAAATTCAGTCCCTGTGGAATGTTATGGCCGGTTGAATGGTTTCTCGGAAAATCGTCATAAATCCTCAAATCTGACATCTTTTAAAAAGAGAAATACACTGTGATGTAGCTGAAAGTCTGCAAATTTTTACCATTTGATCGGTTTTTCTGAATAATTTGTGAAACACATGAGGAAATAGCTGTGACGGTGATCCACAAAGATGATATTTTAGTGTCTGATAATTTAATTTATTATTTATGTCCGAGAAAGTGATGAATTAAGTTGTCAACTTTGTCGAAATTTGCCATTTTTGCCAATTTGACCATTTCTGGCAGGTTTTTCGGTAATTTTGCGATTTCAAAAAAATGATATAAAATCCCAACGCATTGACCGATTTCAATTCTGTTTTTTGTTTTTTGAAGCTTTCACAAAGCTTGATCATTTGCAATCATCAATTGTGTTTGGTGTACTTATTTTTGGTGTGCTATACCTATTATTAGATGTGAAAAAGTATAATCTGGATCAATATCATTAAGCGACCCATTTTCATCTGTATCAAGTCTTGTCGAAACATATCAAAGGTCAATGGTTAAATCTATACGGAATGGGTACCAAGATAGCCGCCATACCTTATGCCCCTTGTACGCCAGGCGTTATTCACCTGCACCAATCCAATCTATGAGGTAAATTTCATGCAATGGTTAAATCTAGATACTTGTACCTGATGTTTTCGATTAGTTACAGCCAGCCTTACTTTATTCTACATATATTCTTTTGTCATGTGTAAATTTGCAATATTTGTTTGTTATATATTTTTAAAAAATGCAAAAGAAAAAGAAAATCAAACAGAAATAAATAAATCAAATCAAATCAAATCAAACCTAGCTAGCTAGGTTACAACATGAAAATCTCAGACTTTAAAGGCCCACTGCACTACTTGTAGCTACTTGCGCCCTCTATATAACAAACAATGATCAATCGGTGACAATTGGTCCCCCATGATCCTCTTTTTCTTATGTTAACTGAGAGCTGAGTTGATGAGATAACCACCTGTCCAGTGACCTTGCAGGGCTGTCTAATCCCTCCTGTAAACTACGGCAGATAAGCTTTAAAAGTTCCACTCAATACTATCTGACTGAAACTATTCTTTTTTCCTTTCCCTTTCTTACATTCTCTCTCTCTCTCTTTTTCTCTCTCTCTCTTATTTTTTGTGTTGGCCAACCGATCAAGCTTTGATTATGACGACCTCTTTATTTTTCTATGTGTGATTTCATGTGACCATGTTAAAAATTCATAAAGGCCTATCTGTGATGACACTTATGTATATGGAAAGTCACAGAACATCAATCAATCAATCAATTTTTGTAACTGTTCACTTTGAAATCACTCTGTTTCCGATTTGACTCTAAATTGAAAGACGTCTTAAGGGCAAGCCAGTCGGTGACGCAATCCTACGTCAGCAAAATGACGCATCCTGATTAAATACGTGTTTGATGTTTGCATTGTTCATTCTGGGCCCTGTGTCATAACACTTGATACCAATAACAAGTTACAAGATACTGTTATAAGCTATTGAAATCATGGTATCTGATTAGCTGAGAGCACATTTGTCATAAAAATTTAGCCGTTGTAGTAATAGGTAACAAGTTTTATGAAACGGGCCTCTGGCCCTGTGCCATATCCTACGTCGGGTAGATTAATAGGGACCTTTAGATTTGCACGTCGAGATAGTGGACTGCTACATGTGACGTCCTTTTAAGGCACTGCGATGCTCTTTTAAGGCACTGCCAGTGCCTTAAACGTAGCAGTCGATTATGTCGACGTGCAAATCTAAAAGTCTCTAATGACGCATCCTGGTGTAAGAGACTTGATGTTATTATTCATTCTGTGCCACATAGCGCGTCATAGTTGCCCTTTGACGCCATCCTACGTCGGGCAAACGACATCTCACGCACAACAAGCATATTAAATTGGATCTAAATTAAATACATTTTACGCAAGTCTACTGTTATCTGTTACAGCTGTGCACCCCATACTGTAGAAAACAACGATGATTACCGAGTTGATAACGACGTCGTATCTAACTACGACAGTCCTGACGTGCATCGTGGGATACCTCGTAGTCCAACTGCTGCGTCGCAAACGATACAAGCTTCCACCTGGTCCAAAAGGTTGGCCCATCATCGGGTCCTACCTGACGCTAACATCGGGAAAGTATGAACTGCGGGACCTCCTAAACATGTGGGCCAAGGAGTACGGGGACCTTTACATGTTCAGCATGTTCGGCTCGCGGTTTGTCATCCTGAACAGCTACGATCTCGTCCACGAGGCGTTTCAGAGTCCCGACTTCAACGATCGTGCTCCTATTCTACCGTGCAACAAAGCTCTGAACAGATCTAATACAGGTGGGAATAGAATGATATCTGTCCATTTGCTAAACACGTACATTATTTAAAAAAATATTAAAGCTGCAACCTCCCTACAATCTGTAAACTTGCAATATTCGGGCACCCGTCACCTGATATTTGGGCAACGAATATTTGCAATTTTTGTATCTTATGTCCTATATTTTGATAATGGAATTACACTGAATAGTTAACAAGGCAAAACACTGCATTACTATGTCACTGGTATCAGAGTTTTTAAACTTAAATGTGATATTTTGGCATGATACATTAGTGTCCCCCAAAAAAACAAAAAAAACAAAATATATATATAGGATTTCATATATTAAAAATTTAAAAAAATGTAGTATAATTACTATAAGGGGCCCTCAACCCTTTTACTCATATTTTTATACAAATTTCCTCATTCCATTGTGTTTCAAATTCCCCCTCTAAATTATGTCTTTCCCTACTAGTACTACCTCAAAACTTTTCATCTACAACACAGGAGTAGGAACCAGGGGGGGGGGGGGTGGTGGGAATATCCTTCCCACTTTCATCTACAACACAGGCGTAGGAACCAGGGGGGTGGGGGTGGTAGGAATATCCTTCCCACCCCAAACTTGGCTTAAAACCCCTTATTTTGTACATTTTTCAAATAAGTGTCCTTTTCCCTTTGGATATGTGCCCCCTTTTCTTCTTACTTAAAAAAAAAGCTTCGTACTCCTTTGATCTACAATGTCTATTTCATCTGAAAATTATAATCTACAACACCACTTTTTAATAGGTTCCTCACATTTTACTTAAAGATGAAGTTGAGTTCTGGTCATGCGATTGTGTTGTGAAAGAAACGGTGTGGAATCGACCAGAAAAGGTTGATCATCTAGCATATAAGAATTTGTGTGTATTGCAAGGTTCTGGAATCATCAAAATGATAAGAAATTTGGCCAAGTCTTGGTAAAGTTACAAACGCTGTACACAGAAAGATGTGTATGGGACTACACAAACACTTGGTGTAAAAATCCTACCCGGATATTTACGATGTTACATGACATATTTAGAATATGAAGGCATTCGAAGAGCCATGCTTTTCAGGGAACTTATCTGATGTTCTTCCACACTTGCATAATAAGAATGATAATGCTCACAAATTATTGTTCACCTCTTCCCAGAACTCAACCTTCTCTTTAATCTCAAGTGTGAATTTGGGTGTTGAGATGTTGAGATTGACGCTAATCTGAAGTTGAATCGCCACGTGTCATCTCTATCCAGTTCGCTTCACTTTCATTTGTCCAACATAGCACGCATCAGGCCCTTCCTGGACCAGTCTGCATGTGAGCATGCTGTGAGAGCGCTCGTCTCGTCTAGGATCGACTACGCAAACTCCCTTCTCTGTGGCACTTCTGCATTAAATGTGAAGCGTCTGCAGCGAGCTCAGAACCGTGCTGCAAAGTTGGTTTTTCGGGCCAAGAAGTACGACCATGTAACACCTTTCCTACAACAACTTCATTGGCTCCCCGTTGAAAAGCGCATAACATACAAAATTCTGACTATTACATACAAATGTCTTAATAATTCTGCTCCCAACTACCTCACGAAACTCTTACGTAAGCATCAAACAGCAAGACCAGGGCTCCGATCAAGCAATGACCCAGCACTACTCGCAGTTCCAAGGACCAATACATGTACAGGTGACAAATCCTTCTCTTCTGCTGCACCACGCCTATGGAACAACCTCCCCCAGAACGTACGGACGTCGTCATCCCTTTCTCAGTTCCAGAAGTCCCTTAAGACATTTCTATTTAATACTTAATCTGTACCTGTAATATTACATGTAGTTTATAAGTTATTTTGTAAGACAATTTTTTTTTTTTTTTTATGCGTAATCAGGAAATGTAATCAGTTCATAAGTTATTTTGTTATTGATATTCTTATATATGTATATGATATGTAAAGCGCTGTGATACATTTACTGTAATGAGCGCTATATAAATGCAAATATTATTATTATTATTATTAGTATCATTGTAACGTGCTTATATATATCATGTACATAATGACATCTATTTCATATATCTGTCTCTATTTACTGTAAAATTTGGAGGAAAAAAATGGAATAACCCTCTCCAACACCTTCTCCTGTTCGGTTGCTTCGCTACCTCACAGGGTCACATTAAAGATGCCATTCAATTTTAAAACACCTCGTGGCGTACGCAACAGTAGATGGTGAAATTAAGATATTCATATGCCATATGATTAGAACTTTGAAGCCATATAAACAACTTTTAAAAAGAATGTGTCGTAGAAGATTCTGTAGATATAACCAGTAGAGTTCCGTAGTCAGGGATGAAGTATGTTACTCTTAAAGGTGAAATTCAAAGAAAATCACAAATATGTCAACTAATGTATGACTAGAAACTGGTAAGCTAACAGATGGCCATCGTACAAGTTTTAGGTCAACTACATATCGGGTGATTTATAAAAAATACAAATACAACCACCTGCATAGCAGCTGGGATATACGAGAGATTCGCCGGAAAAATAACGATGTTTTAATGACGTCACTATATGGACCAATACTGCCCAAGCAGACGACATCCCATAAAGAATGAACATAATTGCAAAGCTTTTATTTGTCAAATTATAATGAGTTAAGTGTATATAAATGTGATGGCATGTCAAACCATTCAAAAGGGGATATGACCCGATTCCGATAACTAAAAAATTTTGCTCGTAAATACACAGGATAGGGGTTAATTAACAATCAAAGAAACCAGACTTTCGAATTGAAACCCCCCGGAATGATATTAAGGACGGCATTTGTTCCCTCTTGAAACGCCGAACATACCGCGTTGTGTGCAGCTGAATATTCAATGGCGTCTTATTTTGTTTACAAGCGACAGATTCCTTTATTTTTATATCGCTGCATTTGTCATCAAAATAAAACCATGTACGGGATTTAGAGTGAGGCAATAGATTATACATTTAGCCTGACGGTAGTGAAGTAAGAGAAAGAACTCAAGAGAAGATGAAAACACAGGCACTGAAAATGTGTGAGATGTCATGGGACATCATCTGCTTGTGCAAATCGTGTCCATACTGTGATCTCACACATCTCAGCAGCGTTCGGAGAGCTCTTCAGGTGCTATGCCGGGGCTGTATTTAAGCGTTTTATAATTTATAATAATCATTACTTCGAATGTTTCCAAGCATTGAATTTTGATAACCTTGTCGAATCAAAGTTTCAACTTTGCAATAATGAAATTAAGTTAGTTTTTAAAATCAATGAATATCTACTTTAAATCTATACTGCTTATTTAAGAATTACACAAATGATCTTCTTTACTCCATTGCATTAAGGGCTCGGGCTAATATCAGCAAACGAAGGCCATCTGTGGAAAGAACAACGCAGTTTTGTCACTCAATATCTTCGCAATGTAAAACAGCACAACAGCAACTTTGAGGATCTGGTGGCAGCCGAAGCGGCAAAACTCATCAAAAATTTCGCCAGTCAGGAGGGTACCTTCTTCAATCCGATTACAGACATCGACGTCACAGTCTCCAACGTCATCACCGGAATCCTGACGGGAAAGACGTATGACTACAACGACGAGGAGTTCGTCGAGTTGACCAAGAGGGCCCAGCAGGTCTTCGAATGGATGGGTCCTGGATCGTTCTTCTACCACGTCCCGGTCCTGGCCTACATGCCGATGGAGATTAACAAGATGGGAGATGCGGCTGCCAAGGGTATGTTCGACTTCCTGGAGAAGATCCTGAAGCGGCATCGCCAGGCGTATAACCCTGAGGATGAGCCGAAAGATTTGATAGAGGCATTCTTGCATGAAGAGGCGAATAAGAAAGCACAGGTCAGAGTTGAACCCCGTATTTTTTTTAAATTTGTTTCAAAATATTTTTTTGTTGAAAGAATACTGTACAGCTGTAGACGTAAGAATTTAAATCCTTAATTCTAGATTCCATGCACCTTCGTATGTAATTAAGTTACCATTGCGGAATGCCTCATTCGGGAAAATGTTCAAGGTGTTTGATTTGACTTGATTTGATTTGATTTATTGTTCGTCCTTCTATATACTCCCCACCCTCTTTGATTACGCTAACATGACTGTTAGAGCATGACCGTACACAACTTTAAGGCCGACTCACACTATGACGAATATATAGGGGGTACCGCAAGCTACGTTAAAGATGAAGTTGAGTTCTGGTCATGCGATTGCATTGTGAAAGAAACGGTGTGGAATCGACCAGAAAAGGTTGATCATCTAGCATATTAGAATTTGTTTGTATTGCAACTTTGCAAGGTTCTGGAATCATCAAAATAATAAGAAATTTGGCAAAGTCTTGGTAAAGTTACAAACACTGTACACAGAAATTTGTATATGGGACTACACGAACACGTGGCGTAAAAATCCCACCCCCGAGTTTTACGGTGTTACATGCCATATTTAGAGTATGAAGGCATTTGAAGAGCCATGCTTTTCAGGGAACATGTCTTATCTGATGTTCTTCCACACTTGCATAATAAGAATGATAACGCTCACAAATTATTTTTCACCTCTTCCCAGAACTCAACCTTCTCTTTAAGCTGCGAATTGCAATATTCAATTTTCCGCCAATCATCGTGTGTTGCCTTCAATTGTCGCTTGCGAATCCGCTAGCGACCGCAGACAGCCGAATTTATCAGTCGCGTCCGTCGTCAATGTTTCAGTATGTTGAAAATTTTGTGGCGGCAAAAAAAAAATCGTTGTGATTCCGTCGTTTGCCGCTACTATGTGAGCCGACCTTAACTTTAATGTCCCCCTTCTTCTTTCTTTACAGAACGTTGATGTCGGGTCCTTCACTCACCAATGCCTCAAGCAGGTCGTATGGGATTTGATGTTGGGAGGCATCGACTCGGTTTCCACCAGCCTCTCATGGTACTTCCTCTTTATGGCTCAATACCCAGACGTACAGGTAAATCTATCATCTTCATCTTATCATCACTATCATCGTGCGAACATCGTGCGAGTAGACGTACGCTGCAGAAAGACTAGGGTGGGCACAAAGTATGCAAGGTATTAAAGTGCCCAATAGCTTAGGGAGATGCGAGATGACCAATACTTAGCCTTACTGTCAGCAGTACGACCAGATATCTGTCTTCGCCTACAAAAAGTCTATATTGGAGCCCAGTTTGAAAGTGTTTCATGGCTTTCGGAAGGTTATATATTGGTGATATCTCCCCACCAAAAAAGGTCCAATTACACGCTTCTGTTTTTCTCCCATGATCTTTATTCGATACCAATTCAATCAGATTCCACTTGAATATGTGACTTATACAAAATGATTTTACAGAAACAAATATAAGTAAATACATTTTAAGAACTCCTTTTTTTAAATTTTTTTTTAGTCAAGTAAAAGATTAATAGATACCATATGATAATACATGACTTTAAATTACTTTGTCAGTTTTATCAATCTGCATCCAATTAGGCAAGGTCAAATCAAGTTCATCACCCTCGATGGACATGACATATCTATGTCTTATTCATTCTATTTCCAATATTTTCTGAATATTTTCAAGACAATATCATTTTTGTCGATCATAGTTTTATCCAGCTCTATGTCTCATGGTAGTTTTGGGAAAAGCAAGTTCAGCAATATTTATTGCTCAACTTAAGCGACAATTGTTTGCCATTGCTGCTCTGTAATACAACCATGACATGAAGTAGCAATTTACTCTTTCGGGATAGAAGTGAGTATTCTCACGATTAACGGCGTTATAATAATAATAATAATAATAATGTAACTTATATCGCGCCAAATCCACTCTGTGGAGTGCTCAAGGCGCGTGTAAACAGGAAAAACGATCAAGACTTGAAAAGGAATGTTTTGAGACGAGTTTTGAAAGAATCAGAAGATAAACATTTTTTGATGTCTTCAGGAAGGCCATTCCATAATTTAGGACTAGAGTATGCAAATGATCTTTCCCCCCACGTTTTTGTAATTTTGGGGGTCACAAGAAAATTGTAAGTGGATGAGCGTAGAGGTCTTGCAGGAGTGTAGTTTTGGATTAGAGAGATAAGGTATTGAGGAGCAGAGCCGTGAACGCAATGAAAGGTAAGCAACAAAATTTATATTATCATTCTCATTTGTCAGCATCTCTACAATATTTTTTAAATATTCTATTTTGATGAAAATAACGACACATTGGTACTATTTTATATATAGCCTTCATCGTTTATATAATCCACTAAGAAAGAAAGAAAGAAAGGTAATAATATACTAACATTTATTCATTCATTCCTTCAATTCTGTTGAAGATGGTAATTATTTCATGAAACTAGATGTAGTTAAACACTAATCCTAACTAACTTTTTTTCATTGCAAACCTCTTTTTCCATCCCTATATTTCAATATCATTTCAAACAATTTATTTTGTGTATGAAATATGAATTACACCCTCTGTATCCTTACTCTCACTCCCTCATCCCTTTTCTCTATTCAAACTTGATACTTTTCAAATTTCCTTTTCTCTTCTTCAGTTCTGGTCTTTCCTCTCTATTTTTATTTCACTCCCATTCCCTCTCTCTCAGCTCTATGTCTGACTCTGTCTCTGTCTTAATATAATATAAGCCTACTTTATTATATATATTTTTTTTTGCAGCATTTATTTCTCGATGTTTTTCTTATAATGCCAACATGTATTTTCCCACCTAACGTTTTGTAGTTATACTAGCCCCATTTTTCCACAATCCCAAAATAATTGTTTGATTCTGACGTATGTTTTCAAAAAGAACAGTGGTCATTATCAACAAGATCAAATTTTGAGGGATGCTCTTTTGTATAAATTACTCCGTGGAGTAGTTTGTACTAAAATTCCTTAAGTTTTTTCGAAAGAATTGTAACTCTGGCTCTTACAAAAATGTTTTTGATCTCCTTTTTTGAAATTTCCCAATCCTCATGGCTATCCCGAGTTCGTAAAGTGTATGAATGTTGTCAATCTGTAAGAACGCACACCGTTCTGGATGGTATACATATTTGAGTATATAGGATTATCATTTTTCCAGATATCTTGAAGGTTATATCTTGTAATCTTGTACATCTACTGAGTACCAGTTCTCTAACCCCCCGTCACAATATCTACTCTTTAAAAATAAAAGTCAATTACACACACCCACACGCACACACGCACACGCGCACACACACACACACACACGCGCACGCGCGCGCACACACACACACACACACACGACTACCAACGCGCACACAGGGAGTCTCTCACACACTAACACATCTTTGAGCAGGATTATTTCCAGATATTTTGTAATCTTAAAGGTAAAGACCAGTATTGGAAACGCCCCAATTTCAAAAAATGAAATGGAAGCTCTCATTACCAATCATGTGAAAGAATATGTTTTGACTAATACATGATGATAACAAATTTGCCGGGAAACTGCCTACTAATTCATATATTTGGTAAATTTGTTTCTCTCATGGTCTGTGAGAGATATAGGGTAGTCCCATATACATCTTTCTGTGTATAGTGCTTGTAACTTTACAAAGAATGGGCCAAATTTCTTATCATTTTGATGATTCCAGAACCTTGCAGATGCTAGATGCTAGATGATCAACCTTTTCTGATCGATTCCACAACGTTTCTTTCACAATGCAATCGCATGACCATGACTGGTCTTGACCTTTAATCGACCTCCCGTCATAATAATAATCTTGCAAACTCAATTACACACACACACCTACGACTACTCACACACGCACATAGGAAGGCTCCAGCTGTTTTTAATTCTTGATTTGTATTATATTTGTAAATTTTATTCTTGTATGTATTTGAATTCGTATACGGAAAATAAAACCAACCAACCAACCAACACTATTAAACACACCCGAGTTGAATTTCAGAACCTGTTCCCTACTTCATGTCGTTTTAGGCCAAAGTGCAAGCTGAGCTCGATAAGGTAATCGGGCGAGATCGTCTCCCGTCTCTATCTGACCGCCAAAATCTCCCGTTCACGGAATCGACCAGTGTAGAGTGTTACCGCTTCTGCCGCCTGATCAACGTCCAAATCCCACATCGAACGCGTTGCGACGTAAAACTTGGAGGCTACGACATCCCGAAAGGAACGAACGTCGGTACGAATGCAAGCTGGCTCTCCTCATCGCCCTCGCTTTGGGAGAATTCTGAAGAGTTCGTCCCAGATAGGTTCATCGACAAGGAGACGGGCCTGTACAACAGCAAACTGGAAGCTGGGCTGGTTGAATTCGGTGTCGGTAAGTGATCGGTTTTATGGTTATCAAGGACTAAATCACTGATATTTAAAACTTTAACCTTTGACCTACCACTATACATGAACATAACGCTAGCCGTAAACCTAACCTGAAACCCAATCTCATCTCCTTGAAACACCAAGCCCTATGCTTTTGACGAAATGAAGCTCTGAGCCGTTATTGCCGCAGGAGTAAATGTCGGGTCATTAAGTTATCGCCGTGATGAAAATTACTATTTAATTGTCATTATTATTATCATCAAATATTATAATTTTTATTATTACTATTGTTATCTTTATTATTATTGTTATTATAATCATTATTCTTATCATTATCGTTATTATCATCATCATAATCAATTTGCACTCCAGGTCGAAGGGTGTGTCCAGGTGAACAATTGGCTCGTACAGAACTCTTTGTGATCTTCACTCATATCCTGCATCGTTTCACCCTGCGACTCCCTGAGGGTACGCCCATCACCCGGGATGGCATCAACGGTCTCACCCATCATCCCAAGCCTTACAAAATCACTGCAGCTCCTCGACGTTAATAAAGAAGAGAATGCCGAGTCCTTGTTGTTGTTCTTGTTCTTGGGTTTTAAGGCTGACCAATCTAAAAAGATTATTTCTGCCTGGCTGTGCTGTTTTTTTTTTAGTTGTTCATCACTGATGATTAGATGACGCTGTTTCTTTTCCTGTTTCAAGGTGAAACGATATATGTGACATTTCTTGTAATAACAGGGACTGCCTTCGACATAACCTGATGGTTTTATTTGCAGTTTTCCCAATTCATTTATATTGCTGAATAACTTTGTGTAATTCGGGTATATTATGTAGACATGTTTCCATTTTGTGTGTGTTCTCTGTTTTCTATATTGTATATAATCTGTATTTTATGTTTTTTTTTAATGGATTTGAATTGAAATAAAACTTGAAACTGAAACTTGAAACTTATTATGTCAGTTGGGAAGAATATCGTGAAACGAACCCCCCCCCCCTGGAAAGGTTTGGACCAAACTTGGACCAAACGTTTATGCCACAAGCTTCTAACCCGATTTCTATGTACAGTGCATGTCCAAGACTGAATTCATCTCTTATCATTTTGAAGGTGCCATTGTATAGTGGTCCCTTCACTTGACTCCCGATCCAAGGGTTGAGGGTTCGAATCCCAGCACCGCACTAACGTCCTGTTTAATGTATATTGAAATTGAAACATACATTTCCCACCTACAAGTTGCAACCCAGATTACCCCGGTAGGATATAGTTTGCTCAGCATTGTTATAATTGTGAGCGTCTGTAAAATGACGCCTGGTTTGAAATGCTCCCCAGTGAGTTGAAAATGTGCATACATTGTGTTTGGGCGAGCCTAAATCCAATGACAGGAGTAATACTCTAAAAAGCACTTCATAAACCCAGAATAGAATTGTTATATAACTTTGATAATTAAAAAAAAAATTAATGTTATTTTCCCATTAAAATGTGCTACATAAACGACCTTTTCTAATTGTTTCCGGACAGTATGTTATACAATGCAAATGAATAAGAAGCTCCTTTTTTTGAATTCTTCGAGAAGTTTCCTTTTTTGTTTTAGGTGAAAATACACTTCTTATTTGCTGTATCCTTTAGCACACAACTCAGTATACGCGTATATCATGTCTTAGGTTGCGCCCAGAACTTTGTCATTCATCGCGTTTTAAAAAGCCCTTATCGTCAGTGTAGCTATGTCTATATGAAACTGTCTTATAATCTACAATCATGGAACAAATTTCGTTAATAAGATGAATGTTGCTCCTGTCATAGTTGTATGTACATGTTCCTCCCCAAAACTTTTTATTTTACATGATGTATATAATCAATTGTAAAAAAGGGAAAATAAGAAAAAAAGAGAAAGGTATACAATGGGCAGTTCTAGAGATGGAAGATGAATTATGTGTTAGCTAAAGTAATTAAATTGAAAGCCCAAATATAGCTGATTGTTTGAATTAAGAAATTGCGTATTTACAGTATATTCACATTGTATAATCTTATTTGTAGTTCTACTATTTTGCACTGTATGATTATTAGCAAATAATGTATTGCAGGTTTGGTCTGTTATTTTAATTAACAATGTCACACATATACAACTTTTGGCTTAACGAATCAAGTAATTTGAATAAAGAATGAAATATCGTTTTAAAAGAAAATATATTGTAACATACAGATTATTCTTTGATGAAATATATATTTTAAATTAAATATTCAATGTTGTATTTTATAAAGGTCGTTTTTTTCCTTTTCAGTGTCACTGATATAATACTCCCTATATCATGAATGGCATCGCTCATCTGTAATTTGGAATTAAATTATATAATTCTGTAACAGCTTTGTAAATTCGTCGCAATTAGGCGGTACTGTCACGGTAATGTGTTTTTCTTTAATACAAAAATGATTCATTTATCCATCTTAATAACCGGTGTAGGAATATTACATATATATTTCTTCATAAATATTTTTAGAAAAAAAATAATTCTAGAATAAACTTGTATCATTATATTTGAGTGAACCGTACTTGATCTGATTTGATTTTGATGTTCAATTATTTTCCATATATATATCATCACAATTATACGAATTGTATTATAGTCACATAAAATCATATATAAAACAGAGGGGTCGTCATATTGACGTTCTCATCATAAGTAAACATGTTCATACAATAAATATTCATATGAACACAGTGCATGGTGGAAAGTGGAAGTCCAACAAAAATGAAAGAGAGAGAGAGAGAAGGAAAGGGAAAATGTGAGGGGAGGGTTGCATTCAGATAGTATTAAATGTAGACACCAAACCTCTGGACAAAACTCCAGACAACTTAACTTTGTTTTCAAATGTAAGATTCTCTTCCGCAGTATTTGTCTTACACATCACACGGTCCCGTTATTTTATGAGACCATTTGAGACGAATGAAAGCAAAATTAATAGAGAGAGAGAGAGAGAGAGGTTGCATTCAGATAGTATTAAATGTAGACACCAAACTTCTGGACAAAACTCCAGACAACTTAACTTTGTTTTCAAATGTAAGATTCTCTTCCGCAGTATTTGTCTTACACATCACACGGTCCCGTTATTTTATGAGACCATTTGAGACGAATGAAAGCAAAATTAATAGAGAGAGAGAGAGAAAGATGGAGGGGGAAAGAGAGATATGAAAAGAAAACGAGAGAGAGGGGAAGGGAGCTAAAAATAGACGGAAATAGAAAAGAGGGAATAAAAGAGAGAGAGAGAGAGAGAGAGAGAGAGAGAGAGAGAGCGAGCGAGAGTGAGGGGGGGGGGGGGCAATGGTATGCAACCTATTCCAAGAAAAAAAAGTTTGCATTATTTTCTTTGCAGCATATGAATTCAACAATATTTTATTAATGACAAGTATGTAATTTTTTAATTGAAACTTTTTTTTCCTTCCAGGATGATATCATCGTTTAATAAAACCCAGCCAACCAACCAAACAAACATGGTTTAAAGTCGTTTCGGCGGGGTGACCGAAGTTCATTTACATCATGTAGATTAATTGACAGAGCGCTATCTAGTGACATAATTGTTCATTTTTCTCGGCTACCAGATAAATACAAGAAAAAATGTAAAAGTTTGGGCTCTTTATCTAATCCAAAACTGAAAGCCTTATACTTCCCCACTAATTTTTGGCCTATCCACATTCGTTGGCTGGATCGTTTATCGATTCGATTTAATGAAGTTGATGGCCGTATATAGTTATTTTCCCCATCTTTGGACTTTTATAAATGTCACCTTCTTAGTAGCATGTTTTTTTATTTATATTTTTCAAAATATTTGTTGAAATTTGTATTTAAAAATTGAACGGCTGTACATAATTTCCCATTCATAATACTTCCATAAATATTCCTAAAACTGTTTTTAAGATTATCAACTTCGAATGATCTCCTGAATTAGGCTATGTGTAGTGATTTTCGAATCAGGTGCTATTTTATTCAAGCATGAAATAGCAAGTACGCTTTGTTACAGACACCGAAATCAAACAAAATAATTTGTTGGTATAACCTGTATCCCGTATTCATATAAAGCGTTGTGATTGATTCAAATTAGTCGCAAGTCGATCCCGTCTCCTGTTTTAGTACACAGTTGCGATTAATTTGTCCGTTGCCATTGATTTGAATGAATCGCAACTCTTGATAATACAGGGCCCAAAACAAAACGTCCGACTGCATTTTTTCATGCAAGCAGTGCTACAAGGCTTTAATATTTAAGTAATCTTTTTTTTAAAAGATTTAAGTAAACTTTTTTGAAAGTCCAAAATTATCTCATTTTTTCATTCTTGTTTGATTTAATTTGAATTTATTTCCGTATAAAAGAAGTAAAATAATCGAAACATTAATTCACAAAATATGTACACATTCTAAAAGAGATAAACAGCTGGATGGCCCTACTCAGCTTCCACCAACATGGTGGCGCTGTTCCACCGAGGGGTCCAGAATTTAAAGTATATATAGAAAAATATGAAATCAAAATTCACTATACACACATGAATAATCGAACAAAGAGACATATATTACAGTTCATCTAAAGTACAAAAATAAAAACCCTAATATATTACACTAAGCAAGCATCGGCAAAGAAAAAACAAAAACAAAAACGAAGTGCAATATGTATGTCCCAATAATTGGGGGAGAATGCACAATTATTCCCCAATGAACGAAGGAAGTGACATGTTCGTGCGATATGCTGTTTGAGGAAATAATGAAGTAACCCATCTTTTCTTGAAATTCGAACAATGTCTCTTCCTGTCATTCAAAATTAAAGAATAAAAGCAACACTCTATAGTAGGCAAGCATCGGCAAAGAATACCAGACCAATAACTGGGGGGAAATGCATATTAACCTCCAATGGACATGTTCGTGCGATATGAGGAAATAATGAAGTAACCTTTTCTTGAGATTCGAACAATGCCTCATATCCTGTCCTTCATGTTAAACGCTTATGTAAAGGAAGTGGCCGAAAAGAGTGGGGTCATGTATGATCGTCATCGAGCATCAGTTCGGTCTTCTAGTTAAAGGGACTTGGTAGCATTTTTCAGATGAGAGAAAATGGTGCTTAGGTGGTGACTTTAATGCTTTATGTACAGTTAAAGATAATTTGAAATTTTGAGTGAAAACAAGCTATTACTAATCATACAAATTGGGAAAAACTGTTCTGATCGTTTCCTAAATTCTCCTAACTATAGTATCATAATTAAATTAATTTTAAGTAAATGTAAATCGTCACAAAGCAATTAACTGGCTCTAAATACCATTCTAAACATTTAGGTGTTGAAATGTTTTTTAAAGCCTGTTTTATGTCTTACTTTCATGGGAACAAGTTTGGGATAATTCGAAAAATTGGTTGGGAAAATTTACCGTTAGAGGGAATCAGGAAGATAGATAGTAATAGAGAAATAATACGAATTATATATATTTGTTTAAATATCTAAAAACGTCAAGATCATAAACAACAAGAGAAAAGAATAATGACTGTTCATTTAAACTACTTTGTATCCAATAAAGGAACCTGTCTACAAGTACACAGGCAGAGCTCAGGATTGAAAAAGGGTTATAACAAATTATTGCAAAAAATATTGCAAAATTATTTACTTTACTTGTATCAAAGAGAACTGTTGCTGAGCTAGCGCCATGAGCGTCCCTGGACGGTGTGTGCGCTCACAGGCCACCTGTCTACAAAAAACATTTTGTGTGTTTCCCTTCGGCGGTCGCTTTAGACAGGTGTGACTGTATATGGAATAAAGAGTAATTAATAAGTAGGGCTATCAGCTTGATACAGTTATCAGATATTTTATTAATTCATTTATTTATTTTAAATGGTTTAATTTATTAAAAAACATTTGAGGCCCGAGCGCCGAATTGCACTTTTTTTTACTAAGTACAATACATCAGTGACAAAGGAAAAAAAATACACGTAAAACATATGCATGATAATATTATGGTGGTAAAATTGTACATTATAATATATAATTGAGTTCTACGACACCTGCTCCGGCTACAATTACTCCCCGGCAAATCAGTACATTAATCAAACTCCCAATCCCAACCCCGACAAGAATCCTACACCGTACCCAATCCAACACCTAGCACAAACCCAGCTCAAAACCCAACAACATATACTGACATCTCAGATGTGGTTATACGTATGTGACAAAATAGCTTGGGCTTGCTACGATACAATCAGATTAACCAATCCAAAAGCAAACAAAAAATGGAAGGAAAAAAAGGCTTCCATGATGAAAAGATCTTTAAAGATGAAGTTGAGTTCTGGTCATGCGATTGCATTGTGAAAGAAACGGTGTGGAACCGACCAGAAAAGGTTGATCATCTAGCATATAAGAATTTGTGTGTATTGCAAGGTTCTGGAATCATCAAAATGATAAGAAATTTGGCCAAGTCTTGATAAAGTTACAAACACTTGCACAGAAAGATGTATATGGGACTACACGAACAAGTGGCGTAAAAACCGGCCCCCGATTTTTACGATGTTACATGCATATTTAGAATATGAAGGCATTTGAAGAGCCATGCTTTTCAGGGAACATGTCTTAACTGATGTTCTTCCATACTTGCATAATAAGAATGAGTAATGCTTACAAATTATTTTTCACCTCTTCCTAGAACTCAACCTTCTCTTTAAAGTTTAGTCATGTGGACGGGTAAAACAAAGATTACGAAACCTACTACAAGATGAAATCTGCGAAAGTCAATATTATCTTTTACAAAAAACAGAGACGCTGTTTGATGTAGGCTACTTACAAGTTGTAGACAAATAGATTAGTGACCAGATCGAACATGTGGATAAAGCTTGACCAGAGTTCAACTAAGTTAGTTTAACCACAAATAATAAAGCAATAACAAAATAGACAACACATTCACACATTGGCACGCAGACCCTCACTACACGCACACGCCCAAAATCATTAAAAATGTTTTTTTCAAAAGAAATTTCTGATTTACTACGATCTGTTTGGGCAGATTAAATAGTTTGTTAGTAGCCATAAAGGCGTAAATTCACGTGTTAAACCATAACTATAATTTATTATCGCCCTTCTGGCTCCAAACCGACTATTTAAATTCGGAGGAACTACCCCCGGACGAATGTTCAATTAAAGGGATCGTTTAACAATGTTAAATCTGAGATACACGGCCCTACGTGTTATCAGTGTCTGTGATATGGTATAATATTGAAGCCCTAAAAAAATTGCGCTTCAAAATGATCAAGAAGTGCCTCAAAAAAGTAAAAATCTTTGAGTGACCGGTTTTACCATTCTCATTTTCCCCATTAGACTGTAGTGTTATGAAAACCGTCAGACGAACGGTTTTCAAAATTTATAATTCCAATCATAAATATCTTGATAATCAGACAGGCGATCGGCTTGTAAAAGTCTTGGGTTTCCTTAACTGACCTAAAGGTTTATAATTATTATTGCAACATGAGCTAAATCCAGAATCTTGTTTCAGAATCTGAGACAAAGTTACCGGATCCCTTCAAGTTCCGCCGCGAAATTTCCTGCGTCAATCTTTTTTTTCCAACTCATATTCGACATTTACAAAGGAAACAAAATGGTGCTTGCAATTCTATCCTACCTCTCGTTTAACTGCTTGTGTAAACCAGAGTCGAAGAATATTCGTGCAGCATTAATTTTGTTTGACAAACTTTTGTTTTGCTATAGGATAATGGTGTCTATCAAAATGTTGTCATCGACGATCAATTTATTATGTTTACGTGGGCAAAATGACAGTATAAATCGGAAGGGCCACCCAAAAAAAAAATTACAACCTGGTATTAACACTTACCATGCCATTTTTTATATCTGAAAATGAATTTGATTGAATCTTCGTGTTTTGGTTAAGTTGTAGTAGTTTGTAATGTTATGCATAGTAACCGTTTAAAAAATATTGTTATTTTAGTTGGGGATGGGGCAGAGGAGTTCGGATGAAAGAGGAAAAAAATCATATAGCCTTCGTTTATGCAATTGTGCTAAATACAACTCATGGGTCAATTAAGGTTATGACAGTTCACCCCCTAATTTATATTGACACCCCTTTCAAGAACATAAAGAAAAGAAAAACAGAATCTTGAAGAGGAATAACACTTTGTCAAAGTTTCAAAGAGAATAACATCGTTTAGATAACAAGGTAGGTCATTTTGTAGCTATACGTTCTGGATTTGAATTAAAGATGCTTTAATCAAATTCACTGTTATATTAATTACTCTACTGAAAAGATATCGGGTTAAAAATATACAGCCGATCCAGAAATAGGCTAAGAAAATCAAGATAATAATCAGGTCAGTGTGATTAAAAAAAATTAAAAAAAGGCTCTAGGAAGATCGGACGTGGAAGAGGGCGAGCAATTAAGATACTTTTATCACTTTTTTGCAATTAGATGCCCTAAATATAGTATGTCGCTTGACACAGGGGCAATTAAGAAACAAAAATAGACATTCAAATAATTAGTCTTATTTGGGCATAGTAATAATCCCCTAATTTAGCTTATCGAATCGAGATAGTTGTTTAGTTGCATTGCCCCGTTATAATTTGTGGTTCCACCGCTAACAACACAACTTAATAGGTTACGCCCACAAACTTACTAGAACTAAGGCGAGGTGAACAGCAGGAGGAAGGCTTGTTCTGACGGTATAAAAGTCACTTCCACTGCCAAAGGGATATCACAGACATACGTGTTCCGACGGCAATCGTTTCGCTCTCCGTGACCTTAACAACGTTCGAAATTTTACAGAATTTTCGATCAACAGTAACTTTTGCTTCTGAGCTAAAAATCAACGACAGCAAAGGCGGACAGCTCTACTGGTTTCAAAACTGGCTTGAAAACTCTTCACTTTGTTCCAGAAAGTTCTTGATTTAAGGCTGCACTAAACGTTATCACTGTTGCAATCGTATTCATAAACTTATCACTTCAGAATACTGAAAAGAAGCCATCTGCTGGCGTAAAAGATAAGAACAGCTGACAAGACCATTTGATTACTCATAGAGATCAACGGGTAGAAATTACAAACATTTGAAAATGGCACAGGTGATGTCAACAGACTTCTTAACTCACAATCTTTCGACCTTGTTGACGACCGGTCTCACCATCATCCTCGTCGTCCTATTCAGTCTGAGGAGAAAAAATGACAGCTCGAAGAAGCTCACCCATCCACCCGGACCCAGCGGCATACCCGTTCTCGGCAACCTCCTCACCGTCGCTTTCTCCAAGCTCCCTCAACACGAGCTCATCAACGGGTGGAGCAAGAAGTATGGTGATGTCTTCTGGTTCAAGATCTTCGGCACCGGCGTCGTCATCATCAACGACAAGGAGGTGATGCAGAAGACTTTCCAGAACACGGATGTGTGTGACCGGGCTCCCTTCTTCGCATCGGACTACGTCTTGGGTCGGGAAAACAATGGTGAGTGTTCCATCATCTCATCCTTAGAACTCTAGAGTTAACATAATGGCGAGAGCTCAATTTTAGGCGATTTCCCAAAACAATTTGCGCCACCTTTTGAAATGTGTGAACAGTACAATGAAATATTATTACACGCTCGAAACATGATTCCTAAAATCAGCAAAATAAGGTATGAAAATCTTGCCGCTCAGCTGAGTTCTCGAAAGTCCCTGCGATCGTACTTGTACAAAGAGACATCTAAAAGACTAAATTATCATAATCGGCACCACCTAGTTCCTGTGCTGGATTATTCTTTGAACAGAACGTTTCTCCCTAATAAATAATAATTATGGTGCATGTGCTTGTACTTCAAATCAAATGTTTGTCCTGTTACTTTTTAAAATCCTATTGTTGCATTTGTTTTCTTTCAAAATAAAACACTTTCGAGAAATCAATCCGAGGTCACTTAAGAATTTTTAGAGTTCCACATTCTACTGAACTCCATCATGGACCATGTACTATGGCTGTTTGGTGCTCTGACATTTGTTCCGGCGAGAATTGCTCCGGCCTTTAGAGTAAAGGGTTTGGATTAGGGTCGCATTTAGATCTAAAGTTAGGTCTAGGTTTAGGGATAGGGATAGGTGTAGTTTTGGATCCAAGTTTGAAGTCGGGAGGAGGTTAGAGATGGAAATGACCGCAGAGTAATTGTCTTAGGAGCAAATGTCGTACAATGTATAACCAGCTACTCCTGACCTTCAAGGCTCAAAGCTTTATTAGGTTGTGTTTATGTGTCAACTTGGAGACCTGGCCTATAATATTAATAACCAGATAGAAGAAGTGCGCCATACTGCGATGAACCCCAATCATGCATTTACTAATTCGTAATTTTGTATCTTAATATATCTTAGACTTGATATCAATCTCTTACGTGCTTATAAAACGAAAACATCTTGCGATAACTACCCATACTTATTTAATAATATTTTGGTTATTTTTTGGTTATATTGGTGGTTATTTTACCCGACTGCTAAGAAATCATAAATGCTTGTAAGTAAGCAACCAGACGGCCGACGGCTGGAGTGCAGAGAGTGGATAATATAACAAAATTTAGGTTCATATGATGAGACAAGGGCAAGGGCAGGTTTAATTTGCAATGTGTATACAAGCCATGTACAACTTCAATTTCAATGTGTGAAAGATTGTACCGCATATGTAAAGAATAGAATTGCAGTTCTCGAAATAAATACATAACTATAACATTGTTTGATAATCTCCATCTTCTTAATCTTGTTTTATTCTTCTTCTTTTTCATTATTATAATTTATTCATTATCATTATTATCAGCTGCATTATTGTTATTATCATTAATATTATCAATATCATTATTATTATTGTTCTTTTTGTCGTTGTTATTGTTACACGCCTTTTTCTCATCCCCTTTCTTTTCTCCAGGTATTGCGTTTGCGAACGGAGGATCGTGGAAAGAGCAGAGAAAGTTCTTTGTTTCCATCTTCCGAAAGGTGGACATCGGTGTTTCAAGGCTGGAGGACATCGTGGGTGGACAGGTCAAGAACATTGTGACACAGGTCAAGAATCTCAAAGGTGAGGTCACAATCAAATGTCTGCACAAAATCAATACGTCTCTAAATATGTCCGATATCAGTTCCGCAACTTCAAACGTGAATACCCAGCTCGCAGTGTCAGAGAAGATTACCCGTGCTTTAATTTATTCTTGTCCTGATTTTGAAAATATATTTTTGTTAGGCTTACCTCAAAATCAGCTGGTACGAATACAACAATTACAGAATGCTGCTGCTCGTATTTATTTATGTATTTACATGTATTAAAACATCTTTTAACAGGATAACATTGATCAGCTCGCAGGCTGTTTTACATCATGGTCCTGCATAAGGATGGAAAATACAAATTCAAGAACTGACAATAAGAGAAGTTACAAACAAAATAGCAGTTTTATACAAATGGTAAAAAACGGAAACAACACAAATAGGAAAAATAAGATTAGGGAAAAACAGAGATCCTCTCTGACAATCACAGTCACACCAATTCTCAGACCTCCATTGGCTGCCCATGATTGAATGCATTGTTTTTCAAACTCATAGGCTTTTATTTCATTATGCCCATGGCTCTGCTTCACTTTACAATATTACTTAGGTACCACAGGAAGAATAGTTATGTGGCTACCGAGGTTTAACAAGACCAAATTTTTGTATCATAAATATCCCCTTTTTTTTCAAGGTGAGAAATTTGACCCAGCCATCATGGTCAATATGTCGATTGCCAACATCATCACGCGAATTATCACCGGGGTCACTTACGACTGGGAAGACAAAGCCTTCCAGGACATAGTGGCTTACTCGGGAAAGCTCTTCGACATCAGCGGTCCCGCAGGACTTTTCAGCCTCAACCCCGTCTTCGCCCGACTCCCGCTTCCCGTCAACTTCGAGATCCGTCGGCTCTGTCGCACCATCATGGACTTCATCCAGGTGTCGATCGATGAACACAGGAAGAACTTTGACCCGAATGCGCCGGTCAAAGATTTCATCGGCTCATATCTGAAGGAGATGGCCAGTGCTGACGCAGTAAGTATTCACCACGACACAATGACATCTATTTTGGTTTCATTTACAGCAAAAAATTGAATGTTATTTGATTTTACAAATGTCCTCACTTCTTCAATATGTTTGAGAAGACTATTAACATTTAATTGAGCAATCTTAAGACCATTAACTTGCAATTTATGGTAGTATAAACCACTAGAGGTGTCCATACATGCGATTCCCGTTGCACACCTGCGATAATCAAGTCTGTATAGTCAGTGAGCCATTAAAGGCCATGTTTCCTCAAAATTCAGTTTGCATTCACTTTGCGTACGATATGTTTCTCTTACATGGCGTGTCAAACACCGTATCATCTCGATCTGACGATGTCCTGCTTCGTCTAGTTACTCCCTGCGTGCAACGGATCTTAATTTACATAAATCTTTCAAAACTATACTTTCCAAACCTAGACATCCTCCTGTAATACTACTCAGGACTGGACTCCGTAACACAGAGCTTTAAGAAAATGATCGTACAATTGATTTGTTTGCGGTTGATTGCATATAGTTTTATATACAAATCTAAAAGCACATCTTTTCGTATTGTAACATTATGATAAATCGCATTCCCTTTATAAGAAGAAGCTCCCTCCATTCACATTTGATTTCACAGTCATTCGATAAAACTGGTTAAAAAATCAACGAAAAATATCATTATTCACGTTTTACAGAATAATCTCAAATCGTTTGATGATACAAACATGATTGTTAGCTGCTTTGACGCTCTCCTGGGCGGCTGGGAGACCGTAGCATCCACTCTCCGCTGGACAATCTACCTCCTCTCAAAGCACCCCGAAGCCCAGGGGCGCATGCGTCAAGAGATCCATGACCTGGTGGGTGACGAGCGTTTCCCGACCATTGCCGATCGTCAGTACCTTCCGTTGGTGGAGGCGACCATCGCCGAGTGCATGCGATTCATCCCCGCTGTCCCCATCCATCTGCCTCACGTGACCTCTCAGGACTGTAACATTGGCGGGTTCGACGTGCCCAAGGGCAGTGCCGTAGCAGCCAATCTCCTGCACTTCGCCAAGAGCCCCATGTTCTGGGAGGATCCCGAAGTCTTCAGGCCAGAAAGGTTTCTTGATGACGCTGGTAACTTCATGAGGGGCCTGGAACCAGTTCCTTTCGGCTACGGTGAGTTTCCCGACGAAGGAATTTTGCTCATTTACTTTGAGAACAAGAATTCTTAAGTAGAGAACCAATTAGAAGTAGATAACTAGCGAAGTAGAGAAACCAGAAGAGTAATGAAAAGGACTACTTGAACATATTTCACCGAAAAGGATTTGTCAATGATTTATAGTAAATCAAACAAATTCATTTGCAGAAATTGACCAAGAAGCTGACACATTGGCTTTTTCTCATTGATAATTCAACCTTCAGTACAGTAATTGAAATATAACGAAAAAATTATAGTTTCTGACCTGAATAAAAAGAAATAATATTCAATATTCTTCTATTCATTTAGGCAAGAGACAGTGCCCTGGGGAACTGCTTGCTCGCATGGAGATGTTTATTTTCACCACTTTCCTGGTCCAGAACTTCGAACTAAAACTCCCGGCTGGAATTAAAGATGATCTTCAAGGAGTTCTTGGTCTAACATGGAGGCCCAACCACTACTTCATCGAGGGACATTCGACCAATGCCAATGAAGAATAAAACGAGAGACTTTTATTATCTCGATGAAAAAACTGCTTTAGAACACTTCAATGACGAGTCAAGGGGCTTCTTTTCAGTGGCTTTTCCGAACTCGGCGTTTGTTTACTTTAGTACATAATCATAATAACGCCATTTCCTACGAATGGGACTTTGATTAATAACTTGAGATAGAAATGGGCTCGATTGTGACCAAAGTGCGGTACTTTTTTGTGTGCATCTTCCCTGCATTTTTCTATTCGTTTTCATGTTCATAGCCTTGCAGATCATGATGAACTACTACAGAGCTTTTCAACATGTGTGGTCAACTACAGAAACGAAAATGGGCATGGGGTTTATACTAGGGTAGCAGAAGATTCGACATATGTGAAAGTCTGAAAATCAGGGAGATAAAGAAGGTGGAGAGTGCTCGAGGAAAAAAAAAAGTTGTATTCATATCTAACAGAATCTCCCAAAGGGTGGAAATACAACAATAAAGGGGAAGTTTCTCGTAACTATTTTCCTTTTTACATCTATGGAAAACGCATACATCTCATAAATAGGCACATACCATACTGTGCGTACTATAAGTGGCCATTATAATAGCTGAGAGTAACAGTAAAGAAAGAAGACAAAACACAATCGCAAAGACTTTCAAGAAATCAACTTAAGGACAAATAAAATACCCCGTTTGCCATGTTCGCACAATTCATTATATGACGAAAAAGGCTAATGAAATTCCATCAATTTGATCTGAAAAAAATGTACTTGCCTTCGGGTTGAAAGTGGCATGTCATCTTTTTGCATTTTATGTTCATATTTTTGTAAAATATTGTATATAGTGAATATGTAAATATCACTCGGTTTCGTAGTGATGCACTAGTTCCTGCAAAATAAACCTATTCGAGACGATACAAACGTAGTTGTAGATAAACACAACTGCGTGTACATAACGGCTGTAAATTAAAGATGATCTGTAAACTAAGGGTTAGATAATACTCTACAATGTTTCCATATATTGTTGTTTGTTATATACTAAGTATTACATCTTTGATAAATCGTTGATACGAACGCTTGCTGAATATGGATAAGGTTGCTAATGAAATGTATTACGTAATTATTTAGATAGAGAGCAAAATCGAGGACCACAGATCGACCCCGAAAGAGGTCTTCTTTCCTCTCACCCGGTTATACGTAAGATTAGGCATAATGTGATACATGAATAAATTTGTTTGGGTTTGCTTATGTTTTATTTTCAGAATAAGAACATATATACATACATATGAACATAAAAAGATTAATGATGAATATTTCAAAATAATAATGCTGGATAGCTTTATTCCGAGCCATTGATTAAATGGTTCTATTCTTTCTAGAGGTCAAAATATCGATCGCAATAATTAATTGGAAACATGCAGACAAAATTAATACAGCATAATTATATCCACTTATGGATTGTGAAACTCCATCGACTTATGTGAATTCTCGGGAAAGATTAAAAGAAAACCTTCAAGAGATTCGGCTTAAAGGTAATACATAGATTTGGTGTTGGGTCGTGAATTTGGTTCAAATGAACATATTGGAAGCATATGCGATCCTACAATATTCAGTGATCGTTGTCGCGGTTGAAATCGGGTTTAAAGTTATGAAATTGTAAATATTAAACTCTTTATGTTGTATAGCTCCCTCTCAAGGTCAAAATATTAATAAAGCTATAAAACAATGTTTCTTGACTAAAATCGACCGATTAGCTATTTCCGTTTGGAAATTATATATCACAACTACATATTCTGAGATTTTCATGGTCGCAGCTGCCATTGTACGGCCGTATGCGCTATTTGAAATTATCAAAATTTACCGGGAGCACCGTTAAATTGTTATATTCCATTTTTCTCGAAAGCAGAAGTGTTTTAGGGGCTAAATTTTCTAGTGCTTATAATACATCGACAGGGGCATCCAACTATATCAAAATTGTAAAGAATCACTATCCACCCAATTTTCAAAATTTCCCAAAACTGATTATATTTTAAGGGGCATTATTTTGTCATTGTTTTGCCGGTTGTCGGGGAACATATTAGATGAAAATATTATATACCCTGTTCCTGATTACCACTGACTGATTCATTTGAAACTTGAAACGTTTAACTGTGAATATATTAAAAAGATGCATTTCATACCATAATATTATAATCTGAGTGTGTTATGTATTTTCTTCATAGCATTATCATGGGTGTATGTTCACTTATCTTTTGATTAATTTCCTTCATTTACATCTCATGTTTATCCCAAAAAAAATCTAAATTCAAGTCAACTTAAGTGATAAATACGCGATTTTAAATGGTATAGGTTTTAGTTTTTATTTGCATTTTAAAGTTTTACATGTATACTCTATTATTATAAAGAGGCGCTAAACACTTTAAGTACATTATGACGGGAAATTTAGCTGAAATTACCACATGTACCATAATTTGAGTTTGTGATATCAAGAATTAAATTGTGAAATATCAGGAATCGCATTTATGGTATCAACAAGTTAATTTGTGATATCGAGAATTCTAATTCTTAGATATACAAAATGAGAAGAACGCTTTTCGTACTCATCGTAGGTGGTGCTCTTCATGAAAATCACCGTCGCCACCACTAAATAAAGAATCAACAGTCTGTTTTCCACTAATTAAACCAGGGGGGTGTTTCACAAAAATCCTAAGTTGAACTTATCTCTAAGTTGGACTTAAAAAATATGGAAAGCCGTTAGCATCTATGAAAATATCGTGTGAAATTTATTTTAAAAGGCATCAAATGTTGATTCAAATCATTCATATGTTGTATTATCAAGGAGATTTAATGATCTTGATGTGGAATTTAGTAAAAAGTCTAAAATACTTGAATTTTCGCTTTTGAATATATTTTTTTTTAATAGCTACAAATGGCTCTCCATAATATTTAAGTCCAACTTAAAGTTAAGTTCGACTTGGGATCTTTGTGAAACACCCTCCAGACCTTGGGTATAAAGTCACGTTTAACAAAGGCAAACTCAGACCTCAAACTAACTACTATTTTGTTAAACCCGATTTTGAACAAAAACCTAAAGCCGGTGTGACGGCGTCGGGTTTAGATTTCATGTAAAATTTGGTCATCCTTGTACAAAGGGGCCTGGTAACATTGTTCAGAAGAGAGAAACTGATGCTTAGGTAGTGACTTCAATGCTAGATGTACAATCAAAGATAATCTGAATGTTTGAGTGAAACTGGATCATTATTAATGATAACAAATGGAGGAAAAAATAATCTGATCGATTCCTCAATTCTCCCAACTATATTATCATAATTTAATTAAATTTTAGGTGAATGTAAATCGTCAAAAAGCAATAAATTGGTTCTATAAACTATTCTAGACATTTAAATGTTGACAGATTTTTAAAAGCCTGATGTATGTCTTATTTTATTTCATGGGAAAATTCGAAAATTGGTGGGGAGAATTTAGTGTTTGAGGGTGTTGACGCCTTCAAAGAAAGTCATAAATATCTTTGTGGTTTGAGAATTTGTTCAGGATTTTGTACATGTTAGAGGATTAATACAGTAGAAGGAATAAAATAAGGAATACAAATTAGGCAGTTTTTTTTTATCAACCTTCAACAATGTTACCGGCTGACTTTAAAGCTTATCTGCCGTAGTTTACAAGAGGGATTAGACTGCCCTGCAAGGTCACTGGACAGGTGGTTATCTCATCAACTCAGCTCTCAGATAACATAAGTAAAAGAGGATCATGGGGGACCAATGGTCACCGATTAGGCGCAACTAGCTACGAGTAGTGCAGTGGGGCTTTAAATTCTTTCTATACAGGTAGTGGCTTATTTCAGCACATTTGATATCATGTAAATTAAGAAACTATTCAGCTTCATTTAAATTTACGTTCCTTTTGTATCACTGCTAGTGCATACTACAGAATCAAATGATGCTAATGATGATGATGATGACGATGACTGAATTTGAATAATAGAAATCACACGAGAACAAAAAAAAAAGGAAAATGAAAAGGGAAAAAAGAAGACGATGATGATTATGACGATGACTAAATATGAATAATAGAATTTCAACAAACACAAACAATTAAAAAAGGCAAAGGAAAAGAAAAAGATGATTTATAGGTAATTGTGCAATAATGAAAGGGTAAATACTTGTTATTCCTTTATATTTGTATTCTAATTCATTCAGTTTTCCATTTAATATCAAGTTGTAATTTCGTCAGATAGGATCTTTAAGATTCGAAATGAAGTCTGTGTCTGCAAACTACGATCCATCGAGGTAGCGCTATTACTCAGCGTTATTTGTTCACCTCTTATAGGCAAGCTGTTTTGTCACCACTCCATCTCCGCTAGTATACTACATATAGACTACAGGGGATCGTTCTATCCGTTATTAATCAGTGTTTTAATGATTAAATACTCCATATTGTACAATTTCCAATGTCGAACTTGATGGTAACTGTTCTCCCATTATAGAAGATTTGGAATCCACTCTTTACGGAGTCATTATATTAAGAAGATCGCAAAAGCTTCCGGAGTTCTACTCGTGGGCAATTTCTCTATGGTATACGCCAAAGAAATTATTTTGGATTACGTAATAGTAAAACATCACTGTCATGTTTACACTTTCCAACAATTCAGAGATTGAAAAGGCTATTGAAATAATATTCTGATTACGTAATACATTAACAGAATGTTTGTTTATTTCAATAGGTGGTGGACAGGGCCTTAGGAAATTGCCTCAGGTTGATATTTCGGACCTCTTTGCGATCCTGGTTTAATAAGGGATCCCTTCGGATTTGGAGTTGAATTGTCGTCAGTTTGTAGTCAGACTCCTCCAAAGGAATAATTAGAATAACTCAGTTTGGAGAGTTTTCTTTTTCTTTTTATAAAATCTTTAATCAGATACAAAATCACGGATGACATACATACTATAAAATATCCACACATGTTTAAATAAGATCAAGTTATAATTATATATTCCTTTGATAGTTGTTTCCCCTTCAGTATCGAAGCGACTCCTAAAATAAACTAAAAAAAGAAGCGAATTTCCCCTCCTGTACATTTAAGAGCACTGATCAGTTTGTACGATGCTATTATGGCGACAATTAATGCTCCATGGTCAATATACCTTTGTAATTTCCTATCCCCCTGCTTTCTTTGTTTTGTTGCTGTTGTTGCTTTTTTTGTGTATAAGACAATATTTCGGTGCTTTTGGATCAGGAAACTATTCCACAGAATGAAAAAAACAAATCGGGCAATTGGAAATGGGGTTTTCTCTTTTCGACAGGCGTCTCAAACAGTTTAGTAACCCACATTTTGAGCTTTTCCTTAAGAGTCTGGGTTCATATTCATAAACCCTTACGAAGCTATAGTTGTCAATTAATTAGGCTATAGTACATACTAACAACAAGGCTCACTAAGGTTTTATGAATAGGGGCCCAAGTTTTTCTTTTCTTTCTTCATCAATATGATGAAAACTGAAGGCTTCGCCCTAAAGCAAAAATGTGCAATTCATGTGTATTTTGAATAGTGTATCCAAAATATCCCCAAGAAAATAGGGTTTCCGTGCACAAATTAGAGTCAGGATTATATTCTCGAAATGACTTTAATGGTTCAATTGATTGTGTTTAATTTTTAATGCAATTCAGAGTGGGCGTTCAAGACTTATCATCGTCAATTTACAACAAGTCTGTTTATACAGAGTCATTATTGTGAAGGCCTACGCCCCTCTTCGTATGCATAACGATTATGCAAAACAGACCATGTTGTTTGAACTCTTGCATAACTCATTTGTTCACCGCTAGCTTGGCCCATAGCGCATTTAGAGATATAGTTGTGACATAGACGCTTGCGCGTCAGCGGTCGTAGGTTGTTTCATGGACATTGGTGCCCATAAAGTCGGATTAATTTTGTTAACCTCTTTTTATGAAATGTTTTTGACGAAATGTTTTTGACAATATGTTTATTCTTGAGATAGGTAATACCTTCTCAGAACCCAAAATATCAATCTCTATGACTCTTAGATTGATCAATAAAGTCCTGAGAAGATATAAACGTTACCTTTCAAGAATCATACTCCCCAATTCCTTTCATGAAAGGAGGTGAGACAACTTTATTCTAACTTCATGGGCAACAGTATAGTTCCCTCCCACGTATCTATGGGAATTATATACCTCTCTTTAGAAATCTAGCCATCTGATTGGTCGAAATCGGAGTCGTGATTTTAGCCCGAGGCGCGGTCATATCAGGAGGATGTAACGTCCCAGGCCTTGAGACAATAGAAACAGCGATGCCTCCCATAGCATTCAAAACCTATACTATTTGGAGCTCCCTATCCCCTTTTACTGACCAATCAGAAGCCGCTTCCGCTGTCGAGACTAACTAGAAATCAACTAGCTATTGTTTGACCCTTTGACCACTTGAAATTCGGCCACGTTAAAAGGCTTCAAACGCAGGATCCAAGGACAAGTCATCGTAATCAAAGCAGCGAATCGAACACACTTCAAAGACCTCCTCTCCTTTTGGTGTCTCTTTCCTCTCTCAAAAGGTACACGGTAATTAGCTTCCGAAGGTAAGCGTCGTTACTTTTTTTCTTCTAAATTCCATTGTCTAATCACTTTTATGATAATTAATGCTGAATTATGATAAATCACCTTGCAGTATTTTTTCTCATGGAGTATTGCTGTTTTATAGAACTAACCCACGACGGAATTCAAACGTTAGACATGTGAGATATTATAACGTAATAAACCATCTTGATATTTATGTATTGCTATTAAACAATACATTTCTCTTTGTACTGACGACACGATGATTTTGGCAAGGCACGTTTATATTATCTTGTTTTAAATTAGAGGTTTGTTCCCTGCCTGGTTTAATTCAAGTGATGTTTTCATTCTGCGAATACTGAATTTAATATATGATTTAAAATTAAATTATTTTTCCCCATGTTTGTCAACTTGTTTTGATTTTATTTAAGAGAATTAAAAGAGTTAAGGAAATTGGTTTCCATTTGGTCCAAATGGGCCGCGACTCCGGTTTAGGGGAAATACAATAGTGCTTGGGTTTGGATAGACCTCCGATATTAGGGGCGCGTAAGGATGGTTGTCAAGACTCAACCCTGCCTCGAAAAAAAATCAATGTCGAGATATTAAAAGAGTTTCGCGTTTTCGTATCAACCCAACCCCCTACTCCCTTTGTCCTTATTATTCCAGATCCCTCACGTTTGTGGCAGACTTGATGGACTGTAGTTATTCAGGCGTTATAATTCTTTAGTTGTACGATTATTATTATTTTTTTTTTTTTTATATCTTTTTATATCCCAAAACATGTACTAAGAATCTTGCATCACGATTGGTCTAAATGTGTCACATGAACAATAATAGATTGAGATCATGACGGTCGTAGTGATAGTAAAACTATCGTATGCTAGGCATCGCAATTATCCAACATTGGGTTTAAAAAGTTGGTTAACTTTTATCCCAAAATGCAGTGAACATTATGTTACCTAATGTTACCAATTTTTCTTGGCCAACCCTTTTATGAGTGGATTTCTAGTTATCATAACTTGGAGGTTGCTGGGGTGACAATGAAATGGACCTTGAGAATGTGAAGACACAAGCTCGCCATAGCTTTCTGTCTTCAGCTGTTCTTGTTAGCTGCTCAAGTAATATTATTCTCATAACAATTAAAGGTATAGACCAACTTTGGTAGAATTGTGGTTTAAGGGTTTTGGTGCAAAATATCCATTCAATATTGTTTAAATATTGCACTCAGAGGTTTAGATGGCAATACTTCAACCTAAATCCCCCCAAAAGCAGAAATATAATATGCCAAAATCTTCAATCTTGAAGTGCATTCGCTTTATCTATCCAGGTCGGATCGATATGATAATTTACCAAATATATCAATTAGTAGACGCTTTCATGGCAAAATTTCTAACATCACGTATTAGTCAAAACATATTGTTTCACATGATTGGTAATGAGAGCTTCCACTTCATTTTTTCGAGAGGGGGTGGGGGCGTTTCCAAAACTGGTCTATACCTTTAAACAATTTCTCTTATCTTCACCCCCCCCCCCCCCAGATGTCGACGTACAAGCTGACCTATTTCGACGTCCGTGGACGAGGTGAGGTGATTCGCCTGGTCTTCGCACAGGCCCAGGTCGAGTACGAAGACGTACGAATTCTGCATGCCGAGTGGGACAGCAGCAAGACAGACAGGTCAAGTAAGTGATGACATGACCCCATCTCTTTCAGCTTCAAACTGTGTGATTTCTTTTCCCCGATGTATTTTATACATTTACATTACTTTCCTTCAAAGAAAAGGTTTGACCAATCATGTGTCAGATATAATATCACTGAAAAAATGGTCCTTCCGAGAGAAATAGATACTCATGGATGGTATTCTCGAAAGCGGACTAACTTTAGTCCATGGTTTAATCCACCGACTAAGTATGGAATGCCAGGTGTCCATATAAATATATTTTTGAATAATTTGCTATGTCCCTAAATAACCATGAAAACATAATTATATCATAGTTATATTTTGTTTATTAATTATGTTATTACATTTTATTTTAATTTAGTGACATATTAAATTATTCAAAAACATATTCATATGGACACTTGGCATTCCATACTTAGTCGGTGGATTAAGCCATGGACTAAAGTTAGTCCGCTAACTTTTAGTTCACTATTGACCATAAAGTTGGAATGTTATACTTCTTACCTCTTTTCATGCAATAATGCAAACCAATCGTTTTTCTTTTTGTGATAAGATTACCATCCCGATGTGGGTGTGTGCACAAATGGTATATTTAAACATAAAATCTGTTTGAGAACCTACTTTGCCAAATAGCCTACACTGATGCGTGCATTCACATATGGTTTTTAAATACTTGATCTTTTGGGCAAATATCTGTTTGCGAAGATCCAACAAAACGCAGATAACTTTGTTCACAGTTTACCAACCGAATTCCATGGCGCACCTTCCAAACCCACTAAATCCCACACCCATTCTTATCTGAAAGCACACCCATTCTTATCTGAAAGCACAGAATCACACGTTAAAGCGAAAAGAAAAGATCCACGATTAATTCACGAAACCATGTTTGCGATGAGGATTTACTGGTCATGGCTAGGGAGTCAATATGATGTGAGGAAGAAGGCAGATTGTGAAGCATACATAATTAGAAGAGGTAGAAGTAAAAGAAATAACATCGCCGGCATGAAATACCAATGAATAGCCTCAAAACGTTGACCGACGACAATTTGCCGAACACTAATCTATAGCGCTAAATCAAACATCATACCCGTTATCACCGGAGCGATTGCCGTACAACCAATCTGGCATTGGGTCCTGTGACAATATTGTTCCAGGCTTTATTTCGTCAGTTATAGTTAGGGTTAGGGTTAGGGCTACAAGTCGGTCTTAGATTAAAGGCAATGTTTAACAATGTTTCCAGTTTTACAAATCTGAGATGCATGGCCCTATATGTGTTATCAATGTCTGTGATATAGTTTAATATTGAAGCCCTAAACAAATTTCGCTTCATGAGCATGAAGTGCCTCAACGAAGTAAAAGTCTTTGAGTAAACGGTTAACTATACTCCATCCCCCCAAAAGACTGAAGTGTAATATTAAAAAACCGTTGGGAAAACGATTTTTGAAATTTCGAATTCCGATCATAGATATCTTGATAATCAGATAGGCGATCGGCATGTAAAAGTCATGGGATTCCTGACTAACCTAAATGCTTATAACTATGAATTCCTCAAGTTTAGGCTGAGGTTTATGAAAAGATATAGTATGGTTCAGGGTTGGAAGTTAGACATTGGTGGTTTGTGTCTTCACCGCGGAGTAATCGTCACAGGAGCATTATTTTGTGCATTACAACTGGTAACAAATATAAATTATAAAACGTTAAACGCTTTTTGACTTTTTCTTTCATATTCAGGATTCCCAATGGGCTGTTGTCCAGTCATGGACTTGGATGGGATGACCATGATGCAAAGTATGGTCATAGCTCGCCATCTCGCAAGAAAATTTGGTAAGATGAAATGATGTTAAATATGAGTAAATTATCATACACTTGACATTACAAGAAATATTATCATGATTATAAGAACTACTAAATCAGATGATAGTTTAACGTTTTGAAGAAAGACATACTGAAGCTAGTTTTGGAGAGACATCATGAAAGAGTTGAGGCTCAAGATTGAGCAGAAAGCCTAACAGCCTAATTATTTGAGAAAGACATGCACACCTTAGAATTTGGTATCTTTATGTTTAATTTTAGCATCATTGACACCCGCCTCCAATTTATGTCATGATCATCGTCTTCATTCGTCTCTTCATCCGAATACTAACCAACATCATTGTTCACAAGTAACATTATCACAAATACCATCATCTTCATCGTCATCATTTTTCTTCTTTTCTCGTCTAATTTTAAACAATTGTTATTTTATAGATTATGTATATTGACAGTGGAATGGCATAAACTTAGCTTAATCCTATAGAACCAGCTAGTATCTTTGTGTCATTTTTCTTTTGGGTCATGAACAGAAAGTACGAACCATTTGTGAGCTAAACAAATATACATGATAAAGTGCATTGGACAAATCAATACATTAAATCAAATGAAATTATCATCATTAATTACATTATCATCAACAACATTAAACTATATAAACAATATCATAATTTGAAATTGTCCTCCTCATCAACATTATCATGATTATAAATATCATCACAATCATCACAATCATCACCAACATCATCATGATTATCATCATCGTCTCAAGCATCATTACCATCATGGTCAATCGTCATCATTTCCACTCTCCTCATCATCAACATCTTTCACCCAAATTCTCAAATCTCAGATTTCTTCTTCCTCATCATATTTTAGTTTTTTTCAAGCCTTTCTTTCTCCATCTCCTATACGTTAAAGTGACACGGTAACATTGTTGAAGGTTGATTTAAAGATTGCGTAATTTTTGTATGAAATGTAACATATTATCTTTCTTTTACTGTACTAACCCTCTAACATGTAACAAAAATCTTGAAAATATTCTAAAACTACTAAGATATTAATAGTTTTCAAAAAAATTGTTACTGTGCAACACCGTCTAACAGTAATTAAAATTGAATTCTCCCATTTTTAATTTTTTTTTTCCCAGACAGGCTTTTAAAAATCTGTCAAAACTTAAATGTCTGGAATGGTATATAGAGCCAAACCATTGCTTTGTGAGGATTTACATTAACCTAAAATGTAATTGAATTGTAATAATATTGTTGGGAGAATTAAGGTATCGATCAGTTCAGTTTTTCTCAATTGTTATCGTTAATAATAGTCCGTTTTCACTTAAACTTTCAGATTATCTTTAATCGTACATCTATCATTGAAGTCACTACCTTAGCACCACTTTCTCTCATCTGAACAATGTTACCAAGTCCCTTTAATTATTCGTGAGTATTAGTAATGATTATCAACATGGCTTTATTTACTTTTATTCATATTTCTTTTTCTTCAGGGCTGGCTGGTAAGGATGAGAAGGAGATGACTATGGTTGACATGATGAGTGATCTATGCACTGACATGCTCAATGAGATGTTTGAACTTATCTTCGAGAAAGACGCCAAGCGAAAGGTTTGGTTTGATTTATGCTATTATCATTTTTAACTCTTGTTCTTTACTATTTATAAAAAAAACTCACATTCTCTATTATAATAATAATAATAATAATAATAATGGTGGCTTCTTATATAGCGCACATGTCCGTCACGTTGTGACGCTCCTGGCGCTGCCCCGATTATTACCCTGGCTTTAGCAAGGCAGCCACTGCGGCGCACTAGCATTTCAAGGAATTAATTCCTGCCAGGTACCCATTTACATCACCTGGGTTCAGTGTGGCAAATGTAGATCAATGTCTTGCCAAAGGACATTAGTGCTGCGGCGGGACTCGAATCGCGGACCATAAGATCGACAGTCCGTCGACGTATCCACTCGACCACGACACCTCTACTATTATAAATAAAATTCTATTTTCTTACTATCAATACGTTGATCTTTTTGTCAATGAGGTTAGCGATTTTGTCCCTTCATCAGTACGTTTTCTTAACTTCCTATTTTTCTCTATAGCACAAAATAGCGTTTTATGACCATTATCCAAACACTGCCGACAGGTGGCGCTTACGCACCACGCGCCACTACGCAATATGAAAACGACATCATTAAACATAAGTCCTTTTATAGGCTTTTATTGGTAGATTATCTTGATATTTTACAGGTCAGAGGAAAGAAGAAGGAACAATTAAGAGACAATTAATATATTGCAAAGATCAAGCGATAAAAAAGCCTTAAAACATGTTGTTGATTGCATTCGTTTTCCACTCGTCATAATATGTGTAGTTAGGGTAGCTATCGGGGAAGGGGGTAGAATCATTAGGGACTTTTAGATTCTGCACGACGCGAACGTGGACTGCCCTTTTAAGGCAATGTGACGTCCCTTTAAGGCACTGGCAGTGACGTCACATTGCCTTAAAAGGGCAGTCCACGCTCTCGTCGTGCAGAATCTAAAAGTCCCTATTATATATCATACGCCGGGATCTTACGACGCCGTTTTCCGAGAGTAGTAATTGACAAAGGGCATAATGGTCCTGGGTTACTTGTCCTAGGGGAGTTTTTGTAGCAAATAGTTGTGCGAGGTTATACTCGTACCAGAATCATGTCCCTTTACGTCCCTCCCCACCTCCGTATCGCAGTATAATTGACAGTATGTAAATTCACTGTGACAAATACGCATTTATATTTTTAGGAGGATATGACGACAGCGTTCGTGAAGAAGTCTGAAACTTACATGTCCGTGTTTACTGGCTGGTTGGAAAAGAATGGTGACGACAAAGGATTCCTTGTTGGAAATACGGTAGGTATCATAGACACAACATGAATGAAAAAAAAACCCAAATATATTACCCACACTTGACCCAATCGTCTAACCTACTCCACATCTCGTTCTACCTTCCCTCTCCATCTACCGCTGCATCAACAAATCATTTCTTCCGCCTTTCTTACTTGCATTCTTTATTCTGATATCTTACACATCAGGGGCATTGACAGGTATCGATAGCCCTATATACAGTCTGTTAAGAGCAAGAAGGGCGTTAAGTCTGTGTTTAAGCGTATAAGTAAACGCCCTTCTGGATCTCAAAGACATAATTATGGGTAGTATGTCTTCCTCTTTTGGGGGCCCGTTTCACAAAGCCTTTTTTCAATGACAAATGACAAAAATCAGTGACAAATCTGCTGATAACCAATCAGAAGCAAGGATTTCAGTAGCTAATATAACAAAAACAGTCATTTGTCACTGATGAAAAGTTTTGTGAAACGCCCCCCTGATTTGCGCCGTCTGATCTAATTAAAATCAGATGGTAGATCCAGTCCTACTTTAGTATTTCTTCTCCGTTTTAACTTGCGTCCTCTTGTGTAATGTCTTCCAATCAGGTAACATTGGCAGATCTAGCGCTCTTCAACCTCCTCGAGCAGTTGTCCACCAAGCACGCAGACATACTGACCAAGAACCCACCAATGCAAGCTTTCCTTGACCGCGTGAAGGTAGAACCCAATGTCGCCGCCTGGTTGGAGAAGAGACCGAAAGGAGAGATGGATATCTAAAGTCTGGAGTCCTCTTAGGTTGACCTTGGGCATTTTAAAGTCCGTCTGTATTAGTTTGGCCAGGAAGGATTAGACCTCCCTGCATGGTCACTGGACAGGTGGTTATCTCATCAACTCAGCTCTCAATTAAAATAAGAAAAAGACGATCATGGGGGACCAATGGTAACCGATTAGGCATTGTTTGTTATATAGAGGGCGCAAGTATATATAACTAGTACAGACTGTCTTTCAGAGGAATCTACAAGGGGAGCCGTCGCTGCATTATGTAATCGATCGCAATTCTTGTAAAATAACCCTTTTGTGCTATTAAGTTTACCATTATAGAAAGATCCATTTTCATTTTACATTTTTACTAACATATAGAATGAACTTACAGTTTAACCAATGTGACCGTAAAGACAGATTCAGCCAAAATACCTGGAAGACAACAGAACATTTCTTTTACAAAGAAATCTGTTTCAATAGGCGCAATAGATGGGAATTGGAAAAAATAAATCCAATTATATCTAACATATTTATCCCAAAATTTGTCCACCAAACTTTATTATTGCAGGATAGTATCCGTAAATCTAAATAATTATAGTTTCATTATGTCAACGTGTTTCTGTTGAAATTTATAATGATTACTACTTCACTGTTTTAAGTTATTAAAAAAACACTATAATAAAATTCATGATTTACTTGCGCGTTTAATTTGTGTGAGTGTGCGTGTGGGTATGTGCGTGTGTGTGCGCGCGTGTGCGTTTGTGGATGTTAACTGTAGGTATGCCATGGGGGGGGGGGGGTTATGCTCCCAAATCCGCCAATGACTTGACATTGAAAACATGAAAGTATTCAGTATTTAGCCATGACACAAGCATGTATTGATGATGGATAAATCCTTGGGTAAGAAAACGATATAGCTCTGATTTCTAAAAAAAAATGCAAAATTCAGAAGAAAGGATTGCCACAACCGAGTCGTAGAGACACAAAATCTTGTCTTGGGTAATCTTGAGAGGTCGATTATATTTAGCAAAGTTGCAAAGAGAAAATCTCAAGGTTCAAGATTCAAGGTCAGTTTATTTTCATATTTCACATATCGAGTTTTGTACACATTGTTAATTTTCTTTACAAGAATGTATAACAAAAAGGTAGTTTCAATCAACATAAATACATCCTTGTTTTTAATACCAAATCATCTCATCTTGTGACCAAATTTAAAGTAAACAAATATTGGTTATCATTACATGGCAGCAAAAGATCCTATTCATTAACTTTGGTGTAAGCTATATGCATTCACTCTTTCTTATAATAAACACTTTGTACTTAAAAAAAACTTATCATTTTGCTTGCACAATTCAATCTTATTGTGTAACGACTATGAGAAAACAACTACAATCTCTGACTGAAAAGTGAAAACGATTATAAAAACTACTATCATAATCATGACACGCCACGTCTAATCAACAACGGGCGTGATCTTTTTCACAAAGTACAATGTTTAAAGATTAAAGAAACTATATAATTCTTTAAAATATATCATGCTTTAAAAGATTATATATTATATGGCTGTCGTTTTTCTTTAAAAACACGCACAAACTGCATTTTCGTTTGTAATAAAATACGATAACATGAGTACCTCTGAATATTTCTTCAATTGCCATAAGACAAAATACTGTAGTGGTTACGTATATATAACATATCGTTCAAACATAAATTATTCACTGTAATTCTATTTTTGTAGACACACTTTTTGTGATTTGACGCCCAGGAAAAATGAAAAGGGATAGTTTTATAAGATTTTACAGAATTCTATTAGATATCGCAGTCTTGTTGTTTTTATATTCCTTTGAGTTTTTTTTCCCACCAATATTAGTAATAGGATTATTATTATTATTATCATTATTAGTAGTAGTACTAATAGTAGTAGCAGTAGTACATGTAATAGGATCAAATCATTATACAGTGCGTCCCAGAAAAAACGAAACCGAGAATTATCGATGTTTTATCTTAACTTAATCACAATTATAATTAATAAGTGACACATATTTGGAAAGCTTATATCCTCCTCTTTCATTTGATGCAACTCGTATAATCCATATTTCACGCATGAGTGATTAAAATGAAGTTGAAGAGAGGAAAACAAAAAGTCATTTGGCGGACGGTATCTGAATTTCAAAAAGAAAATCACATTTCTAGAAAGTTGAGTTTCTGCCCTTTCATATGACACCTCAGTCAGGAAAAATGAGCTAGGAATAAAAAAGTTCTGTTTGTTTAAAGTAGTGCTTGCATTTCCATAATTTTATCAAACGAATTCGTTTTCGCTGGCTGTCTGCTGTAGCAGCAAACGGAATTAACAAAATACTTATTAAACTCCGTTTCGTTGACAATCAGCCTTAGACGAAAGACTTCATGCATGGCTGATTGTCTACGAAACGGAGTAAAGTCTGTTGTCAATTCTGCTTGTTGCTACGGCAGGGAGCCAGTGAAAACGAATTCGTATCACATGAGTTGCATCAAATGAAAGAGGAGGATCTAAGCTTTCCAAATATTATGTGTCATTAATTAATTCGTCGCTGTTTTCACGAAGTGACGGTAGTGAAAAAAAATTGCATTCACTTTGCGTTACGATTTTCCTCACTACCGTCACTTCGTGAAAACAAGGACGAATTATAATGATGATTTGATCCTACTACATGTACTACTACTACTACTACTACTACTACTACTTCTACGCGCTGGGTTGGCTTTGTCGTCTTGTTCTTGGCAAGCTATTTTCTCCGGCTTAAGTTGACAAGCATGTTGCCTTCTGCGGGTCTTAGGATGAGCTGCCCTGCAGGTTTGGCTTCGTCTATGGTCTGGATCGATTTGATGGAGAATCTTCGGAGAATACTGGCTAGGATTATTTTGTCCTCCATCATGGCAAATTTCTGACCTGTGTTAATGTTGAAGGTAGAGGTCAAAGGGTACAAACTGTTACAAAGGAGTCACGGTAAAACCATTATATCTGCATGTATTTATCTATCCGTCTGTCTGTCTATTTACTAGTAACACGATCACAAATGCGTTCGAGAAATCAACCTATGGAGCCAATTCAAACCTATTCAATAGGTGACGCACAAGACTGTTTTAATTGACCTAGGCTCATTGTTATTGAAGTCTTTGCGATGTGTTCTACCCTCCCTCCTCCCTTTCGTGAGCCAGTCTGTGATAATTGTGCAGGGGACGTCGCTATAAAGATAGGGGATAGGAAGATGAATTTTCCCATTATTGTTGATTTTATAAAATAAATACAAACAAAAATAAACAACTGCGTGCTTCTGTTTTTTTTTCTCTTGCATTTTAAAATCTGAAGATATTATAAAAACATAAACGCAGAAAGTAGATCGATTCCCTATTCTGCTAAGGGCATGAATTCTCGCTTGCCCTTGTTATCGGTCGCTCCACTCCCCTAACTTTCATCCATGTATTACCAGTTCCCCCCCCCCCCCCACCCCAAACGAGAAGAAAAATAAAAAGGAAGACATTACTAAACCCTTGCTGGGGTTTGTCTTACCAATGCAGTTTCTTGGCCCAGCTGAAAACGGCACATAGGCGTACGGATGTCTTTCTTCGGCATTCACGGGAAGGAACCGATCCGGGTCAAACCGTTCAGGATTAGGGAATTCGTCCGGGTCTTGGTGAAGGCCGTAGATGCTTAAGGCCACCAGGGTCTCTTTAGGAACCACCTTGCCATCTGATAATTTATTTGATAGAGAGGTAGAAACAGATAAAACGTAACAAAAATACTTTCAGGTTGGTACGTAAACATGGTAATGCTGTACAAGCCTAGCTGTAGATAGGAGCTTCAGGCATTGGGAAGTTGTATCATTGACCAGCAGATGACGTTTTGCATTGTATGGCGCCGTATGTTCGGAACGGGTGAAACAACTTGCGTGGATCTAAGGTACGGATGGGTGGTGGGGATCGGGGGCTACATGGGTCCAATACCTCCAACAGTCCAATTACTTCCTGAATTTTATCCACCGATTATCGAACCGCCTGATGATTCAACTCCGCAAAAATCAGCGTCGGAAACGGACATGAAGAATGGGGAAAAAGAAGGGAGCAAATTAAAATGATAATACAAAAAAGTGATAGACGGAACACTGTAAAACTTATCGATAGATGAAATTACCTAACATTATATCCTCATCGAGTTTTCTAAAGATACTGGGGACCGAAGGGATGAGGCGAAGTGTTTCTTTGACGACGCATGTGAGATACTGGAGCCTAGACAGGTCATCTGACGTCACGGGCCGCATGGAGTCACCTGTATGGAAAGTAAAAGAGTAAGATTATGTTAAACATGTATTAAAAGAAAAATTAAAGTAAAACTTTTCAGGAATTAGCCAATTGTAATGCATGGGCCGAAATCGCCTTTAAAACGTTGATGTTAAGGTATTACTCCACATCTCTCTGACAAGTAAGCAAACAAACAATTCAGGACCAAGATGCAAAACAGACTTGGTAGTTATTATTGTCATCCCGATTTAAAATAGGCCTAGTTTAATAAGATAAACAATATTTAAAATTTTAAAAAATTACTTTTATACCAAAAAAACTTTAAAAAATTGGCGCATTTTAGGGGTAAGCCTTTTATTTCTAGGATAAATTTCTGACTAGGCTATCTGTTTCGAGTGGTTTGTCCTCCTTTTTCGGGAGGAGCGGGGGGGGGGGGCACAGTTTTGCCGAGGGGGCATGTCCCATTGCCCCCTGGATCCGTCCAGCCTCAATAATCTTTGTTTTATTAGACATACCAAAGACCTCGTCTATTTCCATATGTAGTCGTGCCTGTACATCCGGGTGATGGCCGATGAGGAGGATTGCCCAGCCTGCCGCAGCAGCCGTGGTGTCGTGACCCTGTAAAATGAGGGGGGGGTAAAAAAAAAAATCCAGCAACATCAGATCAATTTTGTGTTTTAAATAGAGATGTTATCTTGAAATGTGAACTGTTTTAATTGTTATAGGCACCCATTAAGCCATATACAGGCTACCTACATAACATTATCAGCTACCCTTAATGGTAATACGATTGTACCATTGTGTAAAAATCGGTAAAGAAATGCTACTGATTAGAAATAGTAATAGTCCATGTACATATATAGGCAGAATTATAATTCCTTTAGAGCTGCCCATGTCCCATTTGATCATGAGCTATATGATTATGACATGACATGAAGAATATAGATGACTGCCCACCGCACAGGGAAATGATCAGACTACGATTACACTAAGTTCTTTATGGGAGAGTCCAAGGTGCTATAAGCCTTGACTGCGATCCATTGGGCTCCCAGTCGTAGAAGAGATTTGGGTCGTAGTCGGATCGTTAGCATGCCGTTGACTCATCGCGCGTTACAGTGACTATCATTTCTTGAACATGCAAGGTATCTGTTTACTACCGTCTATACCAAGGCCAGCCTTCCCTGAAAAAGAAGGAATAACTACAAAGTTCGAACCAAAATGAATTTCATCCTTCTTACTTCAAACATGAACGTGTCTACTTCTTCGCGGATATCACCCAGGGTGAAGCTCGCATCTTCTCGGTGCATCTGAAGAAGAAGATCTAGGAATGCGATTCTCTTACGTGTCCTAGCAACAACATCAACATCATCATCATCCGTGTTAGTGTCTTTTGGAGACTCCTTCAG